CTGAAGGAAACCCATGCGAACACGGGGAGAACATGCAAACTCCACACAGAAATGCTGTGTCCCAGCCGGGACTCAAACCAGCGACGACTAACCACTGAGCCACAGTGTCGCCCTTGGGTTAAAACAACTCAGCATTTTTTTTTAAGTATGCTGAAGTTTTGTCAATTGAAACATCAGAGACTAAAAAATTGATCTTGGAATTTAAGAATAAATGGCAATCAGTGATAGATATGAAAAAGTTCCATTATTAAAATGTATTCAATCAAAACACATGTGCATCAAAACTTTTCAATGAATCATAGTGAATTTCCAAAATCTTTTCAGTTGTGATTACAAAATTTTTAACGGAATTCTTCTTCAAATTGCATCAAAATAGATGCAATTTCTAGCTAACCTAACCATACCTACAAAATGTTTTTAAAGGCCCATTGAACACTGAACAACATTTTCAGAGATTTTAATAGTGGTGGTTGTATTGCACACTATAAAAAACAATATAAAAACTGGTCAATGTAGAATGTTATCTATGTATTTTCGGTCACACTGTACTTTCAGGTAAAATTCTCGTTATTAATAAACCATTAACTATAACTTTTAGCACTTAATTTGATGTTTTTAATAGTTATAAAGGTGGTAGGTCGGTTTCTGTATTAAATAGGATTAAGGATGTAGAATAACATTATGTAGAATGTGTAATTTATAAGTACCAATAAACAGCCAATAACTGAATAATATGCAGGTAATAAATCACTAGTTATTAGTGAAAATTGGTATTTAAACTCAAATGTTACCATATTTTCAACATTTAAATCTGTATTATGTCTTCTGATGTGACAAATAATGACCAGTAATAGATAATGCTTCATTTTTTCTTTATTTATGAGATTATGTGTGTACTTATCCTAAGAGAAGATGATTCACTTAATTATTGATGAAAACATGTTTCACTTCCCTGAGAGACGATTCAGTCTATGAGATCACGAGAGTATCAGAGAGACATACATAGTTCAAAAGTCAGTGTTTTTGCTTGACAGTAGTTTCTGTATGGCATAAATTCACAGTATTATTAATGCCTTACACTAAAGCAGTGTGGAAAATGATCTTTTCAGTTTTCGAAAATGCAAGATACAACACATTCAGGATGTTTGTAATATACCAAAATCTTACAAAACCATGTCAAATATGTTTATTTGGTTATGTTAATGTTTGTTTGTAATAGTGATTTGCAGTGTGCATTTGTGGGAGACTTTATGATTCTAACTCTAACAAAACATAAGTCTTTAAAGAATGGTCCACCAACACATGAAAATGTACTCAATGTACTATTTATTCAAGTGGTTCCAAAGCTTAATGAGTTTCTTTACTCCGCCGAACACAAAGACAAATATTTTGAAGAAAGCTGAAAACCTGTAACCCCTGACATCCACCGGAGGAAGTCAAATACTATGAAAGTCAATGGTTACAGGTTTCACCTTTTTTTTCAAAATGTCTTCCTTTGTGTTCAAAAGTAGAAAGAAACTCAAACAGGTTTGGAGGGTAAGTGTATGGTGAAAGAATTTTTAAAATGAATTATTCATTTAATCAAACAGTATTATGTTTATTCAATGAATGTGGTTTTCTTCACATATTGCACTCTACATATAAAGATGTGTGTTTATTGAAAAAGACTTTCTGTAGGATGTGGTCAAGCAGACGAGAAGCTGGATGAGAGTCAGTGGACGTGGCAGACTCAGGGTCAGGGCTTTATGTGCCACATTACACAGCACACTGGTTAGTGAGAACAGATTAGTGAAGGTGCAGTGAATTCAAGAATCTGTTCTCAACTGTAAAATGATCACATGTGCTTATTTTGACTTGAATTCCCATGTTTTTCAATGTCTTGAACTACTGGATTTTTAAAACTCACTCATTTTAAAACTCACTCAAAAAAAAATGTCACATTTTCATGCCAACCTCACCATATTTTAGATTTTTGTTGTATTTCATATTTAGTGAAGTTTATTTATAAACTCATTTTGAGAGCATCACATGCTTATGATTGCTTGCAGCTGGCCTCACATTATTCAATTCATGATTCACCAATCAGATGACTCCTAAGCCACAATAAATACCCTATGTTCCATGACAGCCATCTTCGTTTTGAAGAACCCCCACTTCCACCCCAACTCCTCCTCCTTTCCTAGATGGGTGGCACGGTGGCCCAGTGGATAGCACTGTTGCCACACAGCAAGAACGTCACCGGTTCTAGTCCTTACCAAGCCAGCCGACGTTTCTGTGCTCAGTTGGGTTTCCCCCGGGTTCTCGATTTCCTCCCACCGACAAAATACATGCAACCTAAGTTAATTCACTAATCCAAATCGGCACCATAGACATGCTCCTAGTAAATAGTTATCTCTTAAGAGCAATCCCTATCTGTTCATTAGTTACTACAGCTGGGGAGTTCGAGATCTACCTTGGCTCAAACTCCCCTCTCGCCTTGCAAACGGGGAGGGAGCCCCGGGCTCGAAGATCTTATGTGGCTCTCTCCCGGGAAAGCATGCCAAACAAGCTCTCTATACTCTATTTATAATGTGTGTATGTTTTGAATCCCACAAAATTCTAAATAAGTTGTGGTATATGTTGTATTGGTGTATATATGAGGAAAATTAGTGCTTTTTGTTGGCTTAGTAGAATGCAGTTATAATAATGTGTTAGTAGTAATGTGTTATAGTAATATAATAAAGCATCTACTATGCATTTATCTTAGTAATAAAGCTCAATGGTTATTTCTGTATAATGTATAATCTGACATAACTGTTAGAGGACAGTTGCTGTTAGTTTATTAATTACAATTAGAGGGCTTGAATACGATACGTTTTACCTGTTTAGTGGTCTTCCAAGGGGAAAAGTGACCTGCAATGTAAAAGAACAAAACTTGAAACCTGCTGGATCTTTAAATTTAAAGAGGGAAACAACTCAAAAACCCTTAGTGATAAGCTTTTATCAGACTGTTGTGGTTCGTGCTGAGATGTTTATTCTTTAGCTAACCTATTATTTCCTTTGAAGTGAATCATAACAGTGAAGCGTATTCAATCATTCTATTAATGTCTGCCAAATTATGTTAAATTGTTTTGCTGTTAAACCTCGGAATAGTTCTAAGTGAATTAAATTATATTTAAAGTGCTTCAAAAATCTGTAACAAAAAGAAACAATTAATTCATTCAATCGAAAGAATTTTGTCCTTTCAGAATTGCTTTGCTTCTTTAAGGACAAGTGGTGATTGTTTGAATATTTTATGTATCTGTTGAGCGAATAAGGGAGTTTGTCCTCAAGAACTGCATTCGTTTTTGATGACAAAAAATATATATTTTAAAAACCTTCCGTTGCAATCAATGAAACAACTCCCAAATCCAATGGTAGAGCACTGCTTAAAATGCACAAAACTGCATCTTCGCACCACATCAAATACGCATCTTCCCTCTGGAGGAAAAACACTGGTTGAGATGAGGCGAAAGGCCATGAGCTGCTGAACTCTAATCATAACAAACAGGAAGAGCTGGCAGCGTAAAGCACCTCTCCTGGTATTAAGAGCTAAACAATACTTGCCGACATCAAACGACACATTCATGAATATTTTCTCTCTAAACTCTCCCAAATCGGCCTTGCAAATGCACAAAACAAACACACAGGCTATCCAGTGTCTTACATAATGCTTCTACTCCCTCTCCGTCTTTCAAGTCTTACCAAAGATGACCTTCAGGAATGATCACGGCAATGCAAATGAACGGTTTGGAATTAGAGAATACACAAATACTAAAGGCTGTGCAGTTAATCCAGTGAGGAATTAAGATTAGGGCAAAAGCCGTGTAGGGTATTCCAGCCTAAAAGAACTGAGAGAAAACACTGAAAAATAGAGACTTTAATAGCCATTCAAATCCATATTATTCAAGCCAAACATTATAGAATGCACGAGACATGTCACTCTTATAGTTTTAAATGGGAAAAATGCAATATATCAATATGGATGCTCTAGTTCAGAGGTGCCCAAAGTAGGGCCTGTGGGCCAAAGTTGGCCAATGGTAACCCTTTGGCACACCATCCCTTCTAAAAAGAGTAGGAGGATGATGGGGAGTTGGTTGGGACGAATGCCTTTGACAGAGATAGTCATTAAGAATTTAAAGTAACTATTTGTTTCTTTGTTAATATGAGAAGCTACAAAAAAGCCAACTAAATATAAATGTGTCATCTAAATGTTGTAAATGAACTTTTAATATGTCAATTTTAAATACTGTCACTTGCTCGCTTGACTAGTGTACTGAAAAAATTATTAAAAGATGATTCCTTGGATTTACAATTTTTTCTTAAGTTCAGTGGTAAACTATTTATTTGGGCTGAATTTAAACAAACAAATGAAGTTATTAAATGTACATTACTAAGTTTAATTTGTTTGTTTATATAAATAATTTGCAATGGTTTTGTAGACAATTTTTTCATTGTGTTTTCTCAGCACTGAGCTTGTGTTATAAATGGAATTGTTTATGTTTTTACTGTAATAAATTCATTATAGAAAAACCCACCTCATAAAAACTAGTTACTAAAAACTGTTACGAAACACCAATATGATGCGGATAAATACCAACTTCGATATAAATGGCCCTGGGAGTAAGTAAGTAATGCTTGAAATATCTACTTTTAATTGAACCAATTACACCTGAAACCAAATGATCTCTGTTTTTGTAATCTGTATTAAACAAACATATGATATATTTGTCTTTTCATTAAAAGCTGCAATTGAGATGAGAGGCATTTTAAAGATGGCCACTAAGTAAAATTATTTGCCTTGAACGGACTTGATAAATGCATTTCATTATTTAATGGTTCTTCAGTGGTTTTAAAAACTACCCTTTATTATTAAAAACTACGGCTCCACTTTATATTAGGAGGCCTTAAATACTATGTACTTATATCAAAATATAAATACAATATACTTGTAATGTGTTGCCGAACACTTATGTTCTTGAGGTGGGATAAGAGTAGTATTAGGGACAGATTTGTTGGTATGGGCAGGTTTAAGGGTGGGTTAAGGTGTATAGGATGGTCAACTGTGTACTCATAAATCTAATTACAAAAAAATAATTACAGATTTAATTACATGCAATTCTTTAATCAAGCATGAGTACAATGTAAAACATATATTTACTCAATAAGTACATTGTAACAAATTCTTAGCTTCAGTGTAAGTACATATTAGTTAAGGCCACCTATAAAGTGGGACCACTGTATACAGTAGCATTTTTGAGTTGCTATTTTAATTATGCTAATTATATTAAGGCCTTTAGTTGTGATATTTAAAACAGTAATGAAATATTTGTGTTATAATATGTGATATAATAATAATAGGCGAGCCTTTATTAACTGATAATCTTGAAATAATAAAAGTCGTTAGTGTTTTATCGGATCTAGTGCTTTAATTCAAAACAGAAGCAAATGTATATGCATGGTTTTGTGTAAAAACTAATAAATAAATGTTGATAGAAGAAAAGATTTCCAGGAAGCCTATATGTGGAGTATTTTGGGGTGGAGTACATTCTAATCAAAGTTAATAATCACACGCTGCTCCATTTTCTTCATGCTGCATTTCCAACACAAGCACAAGGAAAGTGGCTGATTAAAAAGCAAAGTGCAGCATGTAGCTGTCGGCTGGCCATGAGTCATCAAATAAGCAGTGCGGCGTCCAACAGAACTGAGCAAGAAATCGGTGACACAAGGGGAGAACAACTGAAGCTGAAGGAAGGTGTCTCCATGATGTGGATAGAGAAATGAACTGAAGAGAGCACAGACAAAGCGCAAGCCCCATCAACAAAATAAAAGAGTTTTATCCTGCAAACCAACATAACAACTTGAAAACGCAGGAGTCCCACTTTATATTAAATGGTCATACACTACTTAACTAGTTAGCAATTAAAGGCCAATTAACATAAGTGAGAAAAAAATAACAATTTGTTTGAAGTGCACTGTAAAAACAGAAGATGTTGGTGCACATAGGTTGATGGCTATAAATTACAATAAACAAAAAGAGCAAAGAGAAAGGATGAAATATCAGTGGGTAAATGCACTCAGATTATGATTCCTAACATACTGTTGTTTGTTCACTACACAAGTCCTTATCAGCTCACATATGTAGCTATTAAATAATCAAAAATAACATTTCGAAGTGCTGGTAAACACACTGTATGACCCATTCATAAACGTGTCCTAGATTCTGCAAACACATATAAAGCAGATGCTAAGAACATCCATCAAACACCTTAAATCTACATGATGCAGGTGAGATGAGGACTACTCTAAACACACTGTAAAATATGCTGGGTTCCATACAATCGATTTTTATGTTGGGACAAACATGAAGGAATAAAATAACTGTCTTGAACTGGATTGAACATAAAACAATTAAGCTGTTCCCCTAAAAACACTCAAGAATCTTAAATAAGTACTTTGAACAAACAGCAAAGGTCATTTTTGATTGTAGTAAATGTGTCCTAAAGTACATTCTGCCATTTGGAAATTATGGAAGAGAAGCATAGTTGTCCTATGCTATTCAATCATTTGAGATCATGTGGAAAAATATATATTTGAATATACTTCAATATACTATTCCATACCCTCCATAACAGCTACAACTCCCTTCCTATTAATTATTATACTCCTATACTTAATTATAATACATATTAATTACAAATTAGTTTTTTTTGAGACCAAAGTCATAGTTAATAGTGAATATGTGTTCACTGTGACAAAGTGTTGACCAAAAACCCTGATAATATGTTATTGTTTTGCAAACAATAACTTGTTTTATGATCAATGTTGTGGCTATTCAAGTTCAGCTAATTTAATTGTATTTATTTATTTCCCCAACTGTCAGTCTGATTACTTCTGTGAAAATGGTATGTTATGAATATACTGTATGTCTGTTTTCCAAAGTTAAAGTAAATTTAACCCTTCATTGGTGCATAAAATGTAATTTCTTTAAAACACATTTAATTAAAATGAATCAGTCAATTATACTGGCCACAAACGTATAAGCCAATAATAAACACATTTTCATATTACAGATGTTCTTGCACTATTTAAAACTTTATATCATCCAGAAATCTCTTTCTATTCATTCCAACCCCTCATGTGTGGGCTCTAATGCATACAGATTAAAATATGCTGTGGACAATTCAGGACATCTGATGTCCACTTTGCCGCAAATCACCGACTTGCTTACCGCCGAGTGCTGGCTTTATGACTGAGGCGCATTTCATTAACTAAACAAGATTTAAGCAGCACAGAGATCAGATGGGCATCATTCATCTTCATTTATTCATAATATACACACAGACCCAGCGGGCAGCAGTCTGACTGCTGAGTACATTGAGATATGCAGCTGGCAGTACAACATATACTCAGTGTATTGAAGGCCATACATGACATTCAACAGCAATACAAGTATAACCTTTCCAATGGTGAATATGGGTTTACAACTTTTTAGATGTGAATTTTCATTTATTTTAATCTTGTAGTGATTTCCCAATTTCAATTGGTCATACGCCATGTGAAGGAAGTTAGTTAAAACTTCCCTAATAATGTTCCCCTAAGTGGTGGAGTAACAACTTTCTTTTATATGATGCTTTTTATATATAATAAAGTTTTATAATAGTATATTGTCCTTTACGTACAGAAAATCCTCGATTTCTTGAATCTTTTAATTATGTTCTGCACTGTTGAAGGTGAAATATCCAAATGTCTTCCTACCTTTCTTAGTTTTCTCATGTATTTACTGGTGATGCTCGGCCCATCTTTGCTCCAAAAGAACTAGACCTTTCTTGGAAGCTGCTTTTGTATCAAATCATAATTACAGTCACCTGTTG